GATGGCTTTGGAGGCGGATGTGAGCAGTTTCGGGTCGCCTGTTGATTTAGCCTTGTGGGACACTGAGGTCCTAAATTTCCCTGACGAGCTGGTGACGTGTACCAGCTTCCTCCTCTTCGCCTCCTCAGGAACTTTTTCCTTACCCTGATGCTCCTTAGGCTTCTCCTGCCTCTGGGGAGTTCCCTTTTTCGAAGCCTATGGGATGCTATCCTTGGACAGGCGTTCCACCCTACCTCGAACCTCCTTGGCCCCAGTGGACGCCGACTTCAGGGGCCTCGCCTTGATAGTAGATGTGGCTTTCAGAATAGAAGCCATGTTCGGAACTGGGTACTCCCTCTTCTTGAATTTATCTGCATAACATGTCAGGTCAGCACATCAGTATCAAAACAAAAGAACAAGAAAATTTACAACTGTGGGAGCTTCGTACCTCTGGAAGCCATCAGTCCAAAATCCAGGAAGTAGCGACTCCTGTCGATTAGGTGGTCAAAGTGGCGGAACTTCAGAGGCCTCTTGTAGATGTCCTTTATCACCTCGAACTCTTCCCTGTTGAGCTTGAACCTCGTACTACTATCAGCAATGGAAGCCCCAACAGTTAGAAAAGTTCAAGTATTCAATTCAGAAGTACAAGTAGGGGCTGGGAGACTCACGAGCTTCGTAGTACTGGTTTAGCACTGTGCAAGAAAGGGCCTTGTCCCCCTCCACTGCCTGCTACTTTCCTCGCACCCAGAACCAGGACTCCTTCTACCCCTTGATGGAGGAAGGCAGTCCCACCACAAAGGGTGCGTGAGACCCCCCCAAGGTGTAAGGTAATACCACCCCTTGGACTCCTTCCCCATGACCCGAGGCTAGAAAAGGGTCATGAATACATGGAGAGGCATGTCCTCCCCAAGTGATACCTCCTTTCACAGGAAGTACGAGCCGACCAGCTGGCTCCACCCATTTGGCAGAACTCGGGTCGACGACAGCATGAAATTCCTCAGCACCACCCTAAAGAAGGGGCGCAGAGGAAGACGCATACCTGTCTTAAATAGGTATTCACTGACTGCCACACAACTGGGCCTCGGATAGCAGGCCTGCTCATTCGGCTTGGGAACCTCTTCCACGTCATACTTAAAGGCACCCTAGACGCCCCCACTCTTCGGTATAATCTACTGGCTCCTCAGTCATGGCGTACCTATCAGCCTCGACATCCCCCCTCTGACTGACCCCATAATCAAACGACGCTACAATCACCAGCTCCCTACCCGAGGTGGACTCCATTTCACAATATTAACACAACAAAAAGGGCTTTTCTGCGAATAATACCTAAGGGAAGAACTACGAGAACGGAGATAGGTCAGAAAATCAAAGAACAGGCAGCCTCGACGCCGAAAAGTTCAAGATTTTGAGAGAGAATCAGATTGCAAGTGTTCAAAAATCCTGAAAAATAGAATTTTCTCACCTTTTATAGAGGTCCAGGACAAACCCCAGCCATCAGATTGAATCTCAGTCAATCTGAGCCCTTCATTGTAGATCAAATCCGAGGCGTTAATTCAAACGATTTTTCAAACCTACGCCTCAGATTCAAGTGTGCCTCCCACGCGCCCCATCCAACGCGTTTGCTTCTAGAAGCTCTAGCTGCCATCATAATTGTGTTTTTAATTCGACGGCAGCAGGCACCTTGGAAGTCGTAACGGTTTAGCCACTTTTCCTCAAAAATAAGCACAAAACATCAAATTATTGGCACAGCTATCGAGGCACAATCATTACCATTGAACCTCGACTTCTTCTTCAACATTCAGCCAACAAGTTAGGTTCGGTTTCCCAACCACCTCGGCTTCAACTTCAACATTCAGCCATCAAGCCTCGTAGGTTCAATTTCTCAACCACCTCGGCTTCAACTTCAACATTCAGCCAACAAGTCAGGTTCGATTTCCCAACCACCTCGGCTTTTTCTTCAACATTCAGCCATCAAACCTCGAAGGTTTAGTTTCCCAACCACCTCGGCTTCAACTTCAACATTCAGCCATCAAGCCTCGCAGATTTGATTTCCCAACCATCTCAGCTTCAACTTCAACATTTAGCCATCAAGTCTCGCAAGTTCGGTTTCCCAACCACCTCGGATTCAACTTCAACATTCAGCAACAAGTCTCGCAGGTTCGGTTTCCCAACCACCTCGACTTTTTCTTCAACATGCAGCCATCAAGCCTTGCAGGTTCGATTTCTCAACCACCTCAGCTTCAGCTTCAACATTCAGCCATCAAGCCTCGCAGGTTCGGTTTCTCAACCACCTCAACTTCAATTTCAACATTCAGCAATCAAGTCTCTCAGGTTCGATTTCTCAACCACCTCGGCTTCAACTTCAACATTCAGCCATCAAGCCTTGCAGGTTCGGTTTCCCAACCACCTCGGCTTCAACTTCAACATTCAGCCAACAAGTCTCACAGGTTCGGTTTCCCAACCACCTCAGCTTTTTCTTCAACATTCAGCCATCAAGCCTCACAGGTTCGGTTTCTCAACCACCTCGACTTCAGCTTCAACATTCAGCTATAAAGCCTTGCAGGTTCGGTTTCTCAACCACCTCGGCGTCAACTTCAACATTTAGCCAACAAGCCTCGCAAGTTCGGTTTCTCAACCACCTCAGCTTCAACTTCAACATTCAGCCATCAAGCCTCACAAGTTTGGTTTCCCAACCACCTCGACTTCAACTTCAACATTCAGCCAACAAGTCTTGCAGGTTCGGTTTCCCAACCACCTCGACTTTTTCTTCAACATTCAGCCATCAAGCCTCGCAGGTTCGATTTCTCAACCACCTCGGCTTCAACTTCAACATTTAGCCAACAAGTCTCGCAGGTTCGGTTTTCCAACCACCTCGGCTTCAGCTCCAACATTCAGCCAATAAGTCAGGTTCGATTTTACAACCACCTCAGTTTCGTCTTCAACATCAACACAGCCTCGGTCTCTTCATCGTTCACCCACGGCAACGCATTTCTAATTCAACTCTGATATAAATATCTACACTTGAACTTCGGGGACTATTATTTGGGGTTCAAAAAATTCTTTCAATTTTTATTTCATTAAAGTCCATGCATTACATGAATAACCATACTTGGACTTGGGGGACTATTGTTGCGTGTTGTCATACTTGGCCAATCCACCTGGGCCAATGGCCCACTCAGGCCGAACGTGACACTACAGCCGAAGTGGCATATATTGTCGAGGTGGGCAATGGTCGAAGCCCTTCAAGCCGAAGTCCACTAGCCGAGGTGCCTTTTTACCGAGGCCTGTGAACGTACCCGAGGTCCACATGCCGAGGCCCATGAACCGAAGCCATGATGCTGAAGTTAGTTGAAGATAGTTGAAGCCTTCAAGCGGAAGTATTGTGTGAAATGGTTGAAGCCCCGTAACTCATGCAGGAGCCTCCGAACCACAAAGGAGTGTCCTCCATATTCACTTCTCCCAAGAGATCGTCTGCGTAAAGATCTTATTCGAATGATTGATGGAACGTTTGTCATAAGTATAAAGGTCAAGTCTTGTCACTAGTATGGGGGTTCTGCACAAGCAATAAATACGCTGCAAGCTAGCAAGTCAAACCTCATGCCTAATAAGATGTTTAAATCAAAGAGACGAGACCACGTGCCACCTCATCCAAGGGCTCCCATTTCACATGTATCACTATAAATACTTTCCTTGTGTAACATCAAAAGGCTAATGCAAGAATCAATACAAAGAACTACACTTTACTCAACTCTCTCTCATTTACTTGCAATATACAAATCGAGTTTATACACATTTACATATACATTTACGAACACCGGTTGGTAATTATTGTACAATCGGATCACGAACAACTCGTCGGATTCCGAACGTCACTGTCCCGCGTCGTTGGGCTACTCCCACGCCCATTTGAACCGCTTATTGCAGACCGTCCACGTGTCTTAGCGTGTTAGACATTCGCCCACGCAAGCGTATACATGACCACAAGGCAATTAATTTCATACCCCCAGAATTCTCATTGACCATGCAGACACAAAAGAAAAAATTGTGGGATACCATCCTCACATGTTTTGGCTAGAATTTGCAAGTATATATAGAAAACACACAGCTCTTCCCAAGAAAAAAGAATAGGGTACAGAACTTGACAGACGAAGTTGTTCCAGTATGCATACTAGAAATCGTAAATTACCATGATAACTTCCAGCACATCTATAAAATAGTAAACAATATATAGCTTTGATAAGAAAAAATAAGTTCAATAAAAAATCACACCCAATATTCAACAAAAAATAGTAATCTTTCATAAATTATCATCAATTGAAAAGTTCTCATACACGATCTTTTCACAGTAGATAAATGTGAGATAGAAAGAAGAAGAAAATCTTGTTGATGAGGGGGGAGAGAGAGAGAGAGAGAGAGAGAGGGCAGCAAATATGGAGAGAGGTGAGAAATGTTGTGAAATTTTTAGGTTTGGGTTAAAATTGTTATTAATTCTTTGTACTTATATTTTTATCTTGAAATCTTTCAAAATCTATCTATTTAATGAAATCTTTTAAAATCAACTAGTTATTGAGGGCATCTAAATTTCAAAACTACCTATGAAAATCTATGTTGAGGACACCTAAATTTATAAGTATTTTTAAAAATCTAGATTAGGGACACCTATATTTTAATGAATTATATTTAAATCTGAATTGAGGATACTTCAATTTATATGGAGTTTTAAAATCCATCAAATTCTAGATTGAGAACACTTTCCTAAGTATATGATTTAAAAATTGATAAAAATTATCAATTTTAATGTGGTTAAAATTAATTATTGAGACTTGAATTTTTATCTTTTTTATTTTATTTTTCATTTTTATTTTTATTTTTCTATTTTAACTAAATCAGACAAGAGCAAGATCTATCGATTCCACAATAAAGTAGAACCTTAAGGTACAACCAATTGGAGAGGTCAACAATAAAATATCAAGCACACAGAATCCTGCTCACTCCCAGGCACTATGATTAAAGCTGGTGAAAAAGACACTTTTGCATAAGCGCCGTTAAATCAGAAAACACGCACTAACACTCTTCGCTGAGTGCCGCATTCCTATCGCTCCCCACCGTCGCCGCCCTCTCCTACCACCGAGAGACGGAGGCTGTGCTGAATGTAAACATATTATACGTATTGTCCCAAGCGGGTTTGATCGTCTACTTAGGGTTTTGGCAATTAATATTTTTTTAAATTATTTGAATTCTTTTACTATTTTTTGGGGGTAATTTTTATGGCGTCGGAGGATGTGAAGACGAGCGAATCGGCGGTGTCGAAGATTGTTAATCTTGCTGAGGAGGCAAAGCTTGCCAAAGAAGAAATCAAACCTACTAAATACCAAGTCTACAATGTTTGCAAGTCTCTTGTTGCCGGTGGAGTAGCCGGAGGCGTGTAAGTTTTATTTCAACTAATGTTTATGCGTGTTTGTGTGTGAGTACTATGTTCTATAGTTCTCTTGTTATTATTAGATCATTTCTTGTTGAAGATTGGTAGAAGGGTAGATGATTTAATTGGTTATGAAAACGAAAAATTGATGCGGCTGGTGTCTTTGGATGCGTGTCAGATTTCTGACTGCACATATATTCGATGTATTATTATGAATTATCACTGAATGTGTGCATGCATGCATATTGGTAAATGTTTTAGTATATTTTCTGGATAAGAATTGGATTGCATCTCGATGAAAATTGGTGTTGTTCAATGTTCAGTGATTGAATTCGGGGTATACTAGCTACTGATCTGATTTTTCTGGTCTAAAAAGTTGTACTCACCATTTGTGAAAAGGGCAGCAAAATGTCTTTTTTTTTTTTTGAGTTAATTTTGGGCGAACAATTCAAAAAAAAAAAAAAAAAAAAAAAGACGCTATAGGGCAAATTGGGAGAGAATATTATAATGCGCTTACAGATAGAAAACTTTAAAGAAAATGCATACATATGAATCTAAGATGACACATTATTGTTTGCCTTTTATGAGATCCATTACTTGACACTTAATTGAAATTCTCCATTTACATAAAAGGAAAAGGAAAAATAAAAAAAAAAAAAAAAAAAAAATGTTTGTGACATTAATAATTATTGATGGAGAACATGTTTCTTTTTTTCTTCATGAAGGAGAGGATAATTGATGTTGAAAAAAAAAAGTGTTAACTAAACCATTTTCTTTATCAAATATGAAAATGCCTTCTGCAATTACTGAATGTAACTTGGAATTTCAGTTGGTCGTCTTTTGCTTTATATAGAATACAGGCTTGACTTGCTTACAAAATGTCAGGTCACGAACTGCTGTAGCTCCATTGGAACGACTAAAAATATTGCTACAGGTTAACTTACTTTTTCCCCCTTCTAGCTTTTTGGTTCCCATGCTGTACCTAAATTATTTTCTCAATGTAAAAGCAAATCGCCCAAATAAACATTGACTGCTATTATGTGATGAGAACACCATTAGGTTTGATGATTTATTAGGGACAAACTACTCGCTCATCTTGTTCTTTGGTATTTTCATGGCTATATGATGCCCTTCCAACATACAGGTTCAAAATCCACACAACATAAAATACAATGGTACTATTCAAGGCTTGAAATATATTTGGAGGACTGAGGGCTTTAGAGGGTTGTTTAAAGGCAATGGCACCAATTGTGCTCGAATAGTCCCAAATTCTGCCGTAAAGTTCTTCAGCTATGAGCAAGCCTCCAAGTATGGTCTTACTAATCAAAGAACTTAATATAAATTTTGTTTTCTGTTACCAACTTGTCTATATCTTATGGCATAACATTTTGATTCATTGGCAACAGGTCTATCTTATATCTATTCTTAGTTATTAAGAACTTTTAATATTTAATTGGCATGAGAAATCTAAATCCTTGTTTTCGTATCTTTTCCTAATTGACTGTTTGTTTTATGTTGCAACAGAGGTATATTATATCTGTATCAGCAACAAATTGGCAACGGTACGTCTTTGTCTTTCTTCACATACTTGTGCTCTAACTTTTACTGCTGCTTTATTATTTGAGTGAAAAATCCATGTCTTTAAAGTTTGAACATCTTTGTTTCAATTTTTTTTACAGTTTATATTTTTGGGCAGCAACATCTTTTTACTTATAGAAGAAGACTCAATCATAGACTTTTCATCTTATATCCACTTTATGTAAAGTCCATTAGAAGACTGTGAAAATCGCATTAACCCAGGAAAAAAGGTTGTGTGAAAATCACAGGAAACCAACTGTTAGCTAGCTTTGGGAGTTTTTTTTTCCAAATAAATATATTGTAAGTTGATGTTTCCACTCGTTAATTTAAAGATCTTGTACTAACCTTGGGACATTTGGCTGCTTAGCTAGCTTACCATGGAATATATTTGACACCCCCTTTAAATAAGTCAAGTTTCATGCTAGTTATTCTAGTATTGGGAAGATTAATCAAAAACCTCTTTCTACTGAATAGAAAATATCCATCAATAGCAGGCTTTATTTGTTTCTTCTCTTATTTTATATGTTTTAAAAATTTCCATTCCCTAATCTCAAGGGGATGCTGGTCGTTATTTTAAACTTTTTGATTTCAAGAGTAAGAATATGGGTTTGAGTTGTGGTCTCAAAGGTTGCCTTCATTAGATGGGAGACATCTCACCATATGAACCCTTCTATGGCCAGATTGAAAAGACAACATGGGTGATTGTATTTTTCGTGAAGTTCCATTTTATACATGTCAAGTTTTTCTTGGTTAATTTTTGGATTTAAGCTTTGACGAAGCTCAAATATCTGTTCTGATCATTGATGGTTTTAATTTTTTAGTCATTAGAACATAGAATTAATGAGGAGATCTACATAGTCTGGAAATCCAGATTATTCTGTAAAGAAAATGTTAATTTGCTCCCAAATTTTTTGGTTAAATGGCTTCTGGAGTTGCAGTATTTACCTGAACTCAGTAACCAGAGTGATAACCACATTTTCCTTCACAATTAGATATGCTGAGATAACTAAATACATTTGTCACAATTTATACAGGACCAGCTCATGATGATATCTTTTGCAAAGAGTGAATTTAATGGTTGACTAGCTTTCACCAAATTTTAGTTAGTGCTATGCTTATAGCCTTGCATGATCTAATGTAACAGATTAGGCTACCATTTTGTTGACTTGTTAGTATTGTCTATGTATGACTTGATCAGAGAGATGAGGGTCATGCCATTTGAGTAGTTGCATCATGCGTGTTTTCTTCCACAGAGGACGCTCAGCTGACTCCTTTATTACGTCTGGGAGCTGGAGCTTGTGCTGGAATAATTGCTATGTCTGCAACATACCCAATGGACATGGTTAGAGGCCGACTTACTGTGCAGGTATTGAGAGTCATCTGGAAGATCTTCTTTTTAGATATTGCATTGGCTTTCTCTGAAAATTTAATACAGTAGTATATTCCAGATCATAATGCATATTCCTTTTCTCGAGTTGCAGACAGATAAGTCTCCCTATCAGTATAGAGGAATGTTTCATGCTTTGTCAACTGTGCTTCGCGAGGAAGGTTTTCGTGCGCTGTACAAGGGTTGGCTTCCTTCAGTCATTGGAGTTGTAAGTTGCGGACTATTATATATATGGAACTGATAACAGTAATAGACATGACATGTCTACAACATTTTGCTTCAGTCAACTTACATAACATCATGAAACTATGTATGGTAAAACCCATAGCATAGAGTATTCCCAGAAGGACTAGGACGATAATGATTGTACTCGCATTACAATTTTACTAGTTATAAGCACTTAGATATCATGAGATAGGATAGTACTTATATTGCTTTACAGTATGAAAATTGCTCCGCCGGCCATAGTTAATTCTTTTTTGCCTTTTTTTGTTTGGTCAATGTCACCTTTGAAGATCTAGGAAACATGACCATTGCAAGTCTTATCTTGCCAAACATTCTTCATTAAGCCAATCCTGATCACACGAGAAGTCTATGTATCACATTCCAAGACGACATTTCTTGCATTACATGGCTGATTAAAATGCCAGCCAAATATTGTGAAGCTTTTGGATAGTGTAATATTATTCTAATCTGTTATTTATATCATCAGTTTGGCTGAGTCTTCACTCCCTTGAATTGTTAAATTGGATTTTTTCTACTATTCCATCAAGTGATGAGGAGTACAATAAATAAAGAGGACAACGGCTCTGTGTATAGGTGTAGCCTCAAAGTTAATGCTTTTAATTTTTTGCGGGCCTGAAACGTTGGAGCTCTTAATGGTTAAAACTGTTCGGCCTTTTCATTGAATATTGGTTCATTTAGTGAAGTGTATTGTAGAGATTCTCGTCTAGTTCAATCTCTTGTTTGGCTAACAATGCGAACAATATTAATCTTACTTTTGTCAGTTCCCTCTAATCCACGTTGGGACCAACTTGAACACCTCATTAAAATTTCTGTTATGATTTTAATAAGATCAGTCACTTCCCATTTGATCTTTTCTTCTAAACCCAAACAGCTTTTGAATGGGAAGATATTTATCATGCCTGCAAAATTACATAACTCTTCCCCATATGTAGGGTCTGTTCTATTGGAAATTCTACGCTTTCCAATCTTATTGTGATGATCATACTCTTTACTGTTTGCAGGTTCCATATGTGGGTCTCAACTTTGCTGTATATGAATCTCTAAAAGATTGGTTGATTAAATCTAATAAATTTGGGCTTGCTGAAGATAATGAATTGGGCGTGGTAACAAGACTTGCATGTGGGGCGGCAGCAGGTACCGTTGGACAAACTTTTGCATACCCTCTTGATGTTATCCGCAGAAGAATGCAGATGGTGGGGTGGAGTAATGCTGCTTCAATTGTCACCGGTGATGGGAGAAGCAAGGCCCCTCTTGAATATACTGGCATGATTGATGCTTTCAGGAAAACTGTTAGGTATGAGGGCTTCAGAGCATTGTACAAGGGTTTGGTCCCCAACTCAGTGAAGGTTAGTCTCATCTTATTATCTTTTCTTCCATTTTTTTATTTAAATGTTCCAAAATTGCCACTCCGCCTGGAATGCTAATCAGTGCTCTGTGGCATGGAAGCACTTTTTAAAACAACAAAAAATATTAATTTGAGGTTTAATAAGCTCTGATCACAATAATGATAAACTATTTGGTTAAATATATTAGGACACTGTCCAAAGGAAGTATAGAGAAAAATTGGTAGCTTGTACACAGAGATCATCTGCTCCATGTGGGTTGAATCAGAAATGGACTACTCATTTTAGAAATGAAATTAATTTCTGAGCAAACTATAGAATGAGTGGCATATAAGCTTTTGAAGGGTCATCATTTTGACCGGCGAGTCATCTGTGTTTTAGTTGAGAGCTTGACACTGTAATTTTGTCTTTCGGAACTCTGAGCAGGGTAAAAGTTCTACTGAAAGCCAATAAAGAAATGGGTTCACTTGCAATTGTAATTGTTAAATAAAAATACCATTCTACCGTTTCTAGGATAGCATTTATGATCTATATGGTAAGGCGGATTAGATACTATAAAGGAAAAAAACTGCAAGTAAATCTAGAATATTGTTCCTTGTCCAGTCGAGTAAGGTCGAATACTATGTGTCAAACACACTTCGGGTTCAGACCAAATAATAAATTTATAGCTAGTTAATTTTAAGTCTGACATTTTTCAGGGGAAAAATTACGGGGAAATTCAGAAGTTTTATGTTTGACTGAATATTGAAGCAATTGTTCCTTGTGCGGATCAACCTGTATCATTTAATATTACAATTTCTGTCCAGGTCGTTCCGTCAATCGCTATTGCTTTTGTGACGTATGAACAAGTGAAGGACGTCCTTGGTGTTGAGATTAGAATATCCGACTGAGGTGAAGAGCACTTCGATGTTCATTATTTGTCACGTGTGATTTTTGTAGGTGTGGGATAAGAGACAAACGATTACATTGATGCTGCTATCCTCTTCTGCAGAGCGACAAGTTAGAAACTATCTAACCTATATTTACTCGTTCCTCTGTCTTTTGATTCTTGTTTTCTTTTGGGTTTTCGTACCATGATGTCAATAAGAATGAGCGAGGAATAGTACAATAAATGCTTTTGCAGGTTGCTGTTAAGACGTAGAAAGCATAGACAGATGATCTTGAATGTTTTTGTATCGTTTTAATGAACTTAATTCCCGAGTTCTAGATAAATTGTAAGTTTATGTTTCTACGTTGTGGTCGAAGGAACCGTCTTTTCATTCATGAACGAATTCATGCATTAATGATAATTTTATGTGTTTCATTTGTTTCCAATTCTGAGGAACTATGGTACATAGAATATACACGACATGTTTCAAAAAATTTAGTAAATTTAATTCTATCGTGTGTAAATAGGCCATGAACAATTATTGACTCGACCCGAGGCACAATTGGTAACCATACTTCGATGAAAGATCAACATGTCTTCTCAAAATCACATTCTCCTGCAGTGCCTGAATGGGAAATATTTGAATAAAGAGAAAATGTGAGCATGGGAGACAGAAATTTCATATAACTCTTGGAAAAAAATCTATATATATTTTTATTAGTTTTGTAAATTTACCTGCAATCCCGTATATTGGTATGGACTCTTGAAATTTGACGTTTTGCGCTTCGAAGTTCATTTATTTCTGGTCTTGGTCTTCTTGTTTGTAAAGTCGATACTTTATGTTTTTCCTTACGATTTTCGACACTTTTTCCCTTGAGATTTGGACATTCTTCCGAGGATAACGAGAGCGAAGAAAGAACCAGAATAAGATTTAACTCTGCAAGAGCAAACATGTCCATATCCGTATCCAGAGGACCTTTATTTTCAATATTCTCTTCCACGTTCTCTTCTTCGCCTTCATTAGCTGCAGCCTCTTTCACCGCAGATTCTGCCATTTCTTTCGCTGTTACTAGAAGCAAACTAGCAATTTTTGGAGATCAGAAAGATACAAGCCTTCCTAAATAATCCCAAGAAAACGCAGGAATGCGAGCACAAATATGCATGGCCATGAATTCTATTAGTATGTTTGACCCATTTAGATGTTTTTTTAACCTTTCTTTTTTCGAGGAATGAGTACTACCCAATTAAGTACCTAAAAAGATGCTTTTAAGCAAGGTTGTACGAGTTTGAAGTCTACAAGAAAAATAGGCTTTTGAAAATATATAACTATGGAGGTTAATAGGGCGACAAGAAAATCAAAATATATTTACCTTTGATCACTATGATCAAGAAAAGCCTCAAAATGTTGAAAATCTGACCATCGAAAGTTTCCTACAATGGCTTTCGTTCTTTCAGGATTGTCGTTTCCGAGTAGGGGAAAACTCTCTTATCAATTGAGTCACTGTTTCAAGAAACGCGACTAATTCACGTTATACAACTAAAAATATCGATAATAATACATGAAAGCAGGAATTGAATTCATGATTTATTTGTGTGGAAAGCAGAAAGTACGATTGGATGATTATATTTCTTCAGAAAATCAGGCCAAAGAGTAGAGATGAATATGGTCAGCCGTTTAATTGGTTTCAGGTCTTCAATAATAATGAATGATTGATTTATAACGTTAGAAACATATTCCTTCTCTTACTATTTTCTAATTTGTTTTTGGCCATATATATATAAATCAATTACTTTGGTAATCAATTTTACTTTGATACCAATTCGGGAGCAAGACTTTTTCTTTCCTAGCAAATAAATATTTGTAGAAAATTCTTCTTGTAGGAAAATGACAACTAAGAAAAAGAAAGTCTTGTAAGAAAAAGACAAGTAAGAAAAGAAAAGTCTTTAGAAAAACTACCAATTTAAACACGATTTGAAAGTTTTTGTAATAAATTCTTTACAAGAAAGTCTTGTAGTCTTTTAAAAAATATCTTGTAGCAAAAGGTCTTTGTCAGAGAAAGAAAAAAATCTTTCAAAAATTTTAATACGTTTGAAAAGTTTGATAAAAAAAAAAATCTACACCAATTTATATTATCATTGCTACTAAAATTCAATTGCTAAATATGTCTAATTAGTTATACTGAAATTTAAGTGTGCTATCAATAATTGAAGAATACTGTGCAAATTTTACAGGTGTGCGATCTAAAATCAAAGAACGAAAAAAAAATAATGTACAATTCCCCAAGCAAAGTCAGACGTGAAGACAAAGTTGTCAGAAGCATCTTTTCAAATAATTTAGTTTCGATACATAACTCACTTTTTTTTGTAGTTCGCATGTAAGTTTGAACTACGAGGAGCAAAAGCATTTCAAATGTGGAAACTGCAGGACTCATCGATAGCATATATATTTGAAGTAAGGCGTAAAATTGTACAAATTTTTCAAAAAGCAAAAGAAATTGTTAAGAATAAAGTGTGTTAAAAAGGCAAAAACCTTTGGATTGTTTCATGTATAATTTTGAGTCCTTGCCTTTCTGCTGTAAATCATAGTCCTGTTCTCTAAACTGTCCTAACCTATACCAGACACTACATAAGAAAATGCTTTTATTTATCTGATGAAACTAACAAAATTGTGTGGAAGTTTGGTTCTCTGTTCTTGGTTGGGCACCAAACTTTATCGCGGATTTCCTAAGAGAGCTCAGAATCAGAGACATGACCGGATGTCCTCCATGGTTTTCGAGAACTCATTCTCATACTGCGTCCACGAGGAGTTATTCGTGGAGGCCTTACTGATCTTCCCTTTGGTGTCCCTGCGAAAACAGCAGTGATAATAATGTTAATTCATAAGACGTTCTTGTGCTTCCAAATAGGTTTAAAATCCAATAAAGTTATTCTGTGTTTCCTGGTTTTGATTTTGCTTGTAAATATTCGGAAACTTGTGTGCTCCATTGCTTACTTATTAGAACATAATGTGGTTCGAGTTAGTATAGCAATAGGCCTTATTTAGTTTCTAGTGAGAAAAATGCTAAAAATTAAGCCCTAATCCCAATCCCGAGAGCAATAATGAATGAAATGAGTTCAGAGCTTGTGGGAGTATGAAGCCCATAAAAGAAAAAAGTCGTATAATTTGAAAGAATATGCCTAGCGCAGATGAATCAACATAGTTAGGCCTTAATTTTAAATGGAGAGACATAAACCTAAACTTGTTAACTTGCCAGACATGTAAACTTAATCTTAATTCTCAAGTACATCAAGTCCCTGCAGTTTTCTTACCAGAATTCTTTTTCATTAGCAGAAATAATTTATGCCTATTCTCGGGATATGATGGACATTTGAATATGCAAATCTTGAATCAATGCTTGTTAACATTAGACGATAACTTTTTAATAACGTGCTTTTGTACTTCGCTAAGATCTCACTGTTAGCTGTCTGTCCTAACAAAATTTAATGGATACTAATGTAAAAGTTTTCAAAGTCAATAGATAACCTGGAAGTTTGTTGGCATTGACGCGTAACGATTTCCTTGACAATGAAAGCTTCTTGTTTAACATGTCGAGAGAGGATATGTACTTCTTTACAGTTGGTCTCGGTGATGGCGTTGGCGTTGGCGTTGGCGTTGGCCTTGGTGATGGTGATGGATCGTCTGATATTTCATTATCATCCCCATAAGCGGAAGCTCCATCACTTCCTGAACCGGAGTTATCCATGGCCGGACCCAAGGGGGGTCCATGACTTTTGAGATTTGACTCCTTTTTTTTTTTTTTTTTTTTTTTTTTTTTTTTTTTTTGGGTTTTTTTTTTTTTTTTTTTGGTGGTGTGGATAAGTTCTGTTTGATATCAATTTAAATTTAAATTTTAATATAAGTCAAAGTTAACAATTCATTTTAATAACATATTTTATGGATTCTTAACTTTTTAATTTTTATCAAATATACTAAAAATATAATTTTAACCTCCAACAAACAGAGACAAAATCACAATAAATTTGATTTTTTTTCCCTTTTCTCTTGCTCTATCTTACACTCACCTTCACACATTTTACCAAAACCTTAACATTTCTAATTTTTTAAAAATTATCTATAATTTTTTAATAAATTATCATATCTACTACAAATTTTCACTTTCCAATCAAATTTTCAATTAATTAGAACCTAAATTTGCATTTTCTTCTATCCTATTTGTGTACATAGAATGTGACTGAATTGATTATATTCAATTTAACTTATATTTAAAGAATTGTATTTATTTGATTGAATATTGGTTATATGTTTCTTCTTTTGATCACTTGAATTGATTGTTTGTATTAAATACACTATAAATTTTTTAAATATAAATATTTATTTTCTTATGATGAGCAAAATATTAATGAAAAAAATATTTTTTAAATGTAAATATGTATTTTCTCAGTCAATTATAAATCATTCAAAAATCAAGAGCAAAGTATTAGATTTGTAAAGATTTTGTTTATGCCCCATAACTAAGAATCTCTGCGTCCACCAGGTATCTCTCCGATTTGTATTTGGGTTTTCCTTCTCACTCTGTAAGCAAGCATCTGAAATGGGATTTGCGATATAGGTAACAGATCTAACTTTCCCATATAAGGAAAGCTTCTTATGATCCTGGCCACAATATCGTTGAAATCCACTGGTGGCATGGTTGGTTTGGCAGGCTGTGTTCAGGGGTTCATAATTAAGAAAGGGCAACTTACAAAAATACCTTTAAAATTAGAGATTTTTTGAAAAATCATATGAAAAATTGTTTGGAAGTAAAAATTACTGTCTAAAGTTAAAAAGTGATACAATGTCACTTTTTTTTTTTTTATAAAAATTGTCACTTTTCTTAAAAAATAAATAAATAAATTGACACAATGTCACTTTTGAAAAATCATATTAAAATTTGTTTGGAAGTAAAAAATATTGCCTAAAGTTAAAAAGTGACACAATGTCACTTTTTTTTTTATAAACATTGTCACCTTTCTAAAAAAGGAAAAAAAAAAAAAAAGTGACACCATGCCACTTTTAAAAGTTTAGTGTCACATTTTTATAAAAAATTACATACAATTTCACTTTTATTAAAAAGCGATGTTTATCACTAAAAAAATGTAATAGAAATTTCAAGATGAATGAAAAAAGTGACAAATACTAAAAAAAAGACAAATTCAAAAAATAGTGACAAAAATTCAAAAAGTGGTAGAAATTAAAAAAAAAAAAGTGACAAATTTGAAAAAGTGACACAAATTTAAAAAGTTACACAAATTTAAAAAAGTGATAGAAAATAAAAAAAGTGACACATTTTGCCATATTTTCCTTGAGCAAATGCCTTGTATGCATCAATCTAATTGATTCAAAGTTTTCATTTTTATATGTATTAATATAAAACAAGGCTTGAATTTGTATCTTCAAATTTTCAAAAAAAAAACGCACACATATGCATTTAGTTAATTGCTCCAATGACATGATGTGACCTTTTTTAGAAAAGCGACGTTCTGTCACTTTTCACATTCTCCTTAAATGAACATATTGCATACATCAATCTAATTGATTCAAAACTATCTTTATTGTATTAGCATAAAACAAGATTTGAATTTGTATGTTCAAATTTTTACAAATGCACACTTATGCATTTAGTTAAATTTTCAAATGAGATACTGTGACTTTTTGTAGAAAAGTAATAGAATGTCACTTTTTCACATTTTCCTTTCGTCAAACACCCTGTATGCATTAGTTTAATTGATTCAAAACTAATTTTTCATATGTGTTGACACAATCAATTTCTTCTCAAGTTCAACAATGTTATTTTCAAAACATATTCCCAATCACAATAACAAAATCATCAAAAATTATAAGGGTCAATTATTTACATTATAAGGTTGGAAACCTAATCACATTGCCACTAAAATGTTTCCACTAAAATGACAGAAAAAGAGAGGACTCACTGTGCTTTGAACTCTCCTTCTATGCTTACTATCCCAAAATAGCCCTTTCACACAGATGTAATTATATCGCCGAAGAAGATAACTCAGCCATCGTCGCCGCTAGAGCCGTAGTGGAATATATTACCAAAAGCAATAGCGAAGGCTTTAGACGCGGTGAAAGTTGCCTTGGTGTCATGCCAGCTACAGCATCCACTTACTAAGACTGACGACCTGCAGTTCAATCGCTAGAAATTTTGCTCCGGTGGATCGACAGTCGGTGAAGCATGAACTTACCATCACTGGAAAAATCTCGAAACATATTAATGGATTTTATGAGTGAAACGGTGCCAACTCTTTATATGAGCCAGTCGTTGGCCACTAACTTTTCGATGGCGACGACATGATCCATGTAGTGACCGTTGACGGTAGCAACTCAGTGAGCTAGTTTGCTAATTTACAGAAACACAAAGGCTGACTTAAGAACGTGAATTAGGGTGGTCGGTGTTCCCAAAAGCCATCTGAGAACTCCACGACAACTCCAGCATTGGCCGGCTGCTTCTCTTCTACGCCCGAGGCCTATTCTGGCTAATTGATCATGGCCACGAGAAAATAAAAGTGATAAAAATTGTGTGTGCGTGTTCAGGGGTTGGCGAATTTTATAACGTATTAATTACGGTTTTAAAATTGTTTAATCGATTAATAGAGTATTAATCAAATTAGTTCATTTTTAAGGGTATTGGGCCTAATTTCTCCATTAAGAAATGCTTGGTGTAGCGAAGAATTCTACAGATGGATGAGAAACTCGGCCTTTGGTTAGGGTCTGAGTGCCAACATTTATTTGTCAAGCTCGCTAGGTATTTAGGCGAATGGAATCGGAAAATAGGCATCTCTCCTGCCCTAATGTTTCGGCTTATTTTATCTCCTTGAAGATGGCTATCTTCAAAAGGAACCTTCCCCGTTAAAAGCTCGAAACAAATCATCCCAAAGCTGTAAACATCCGAATTCTTGGTGTACTTCAAATTTTCTCCCTCAGTGCCCAACTGTTCCTGCTCTGTTAGCACTTCTGGTGCATACCAAATGAATGAAAGCTGTCCACCAGAAGTTCTGGGGGCTTTTTGTGCGGGACTAATAGAGGATGATAGGTCAAAACCTGAGACTTTTGCATGTATACATCCATCTTTTCTAACATTCCTGGCTATCATAAGAATATTAGAAGGGTTTAAATTTCCGTGATAGAATTTCTTCGAGTGGAGATATTCCTTTCCTCTTGCAGTCTGCAGCATAAGATCAACAGCAACTGGAAGTGAGAACGGAATTCGCTTTCTTGAACCACAGAGTTCCTTAATGTAACTGGATAGATCTCTCTCCATGAGTTCCATTACCAAGAAAAATTCTTCCTTTTTGTCATCTGAAAACCGACAAAGAACGTGCATGATATTTGGATGACAGATTTGATTCCTTGGAAATCTGACGTATATGTTCCTTAATGTCCCCCAAAGAGGTGCCTTAAAGCAAAGGTTTCACCCAACCACTGAATCTCCGTGTACTGTCCCCCATTTCCCAACCGTCGTCTCCCCTGATAATCCTTCAATGTAACTAAAGATTCACTAGGTAAAAGTACATCGTCCATTGTTTCTGAACCATATAAATTCTTCAGAAAAATATCAGCAAATTTCTGATCATTTCTCGGACTTAATCCACCTGCCTTCTTCTTTTCATGAATCTTTTTGAGCAACTTCGTCCCAAGTTGAAACTAGCCGGTCTCAAAAATCTAGAGAAACCAAATACTGTTTTCCAAATTTCCATTGAAAAATTCTAGGATCCTTCCAATCTTTCTGGTTTTTCAACGAATACATAACCTTCTTCTTCCGCATTTCATCCTGATCCTACCCCTATATCTGCCCCGCCATTTCAATTGTTTCAACGACCACAGGCATACAGCATGATAAGTTATGTGTATGAAACTCAACACAGTCAACGGTGAATCCAGGATCGAAGTCCAGCTAGGGCGGGTTGACTGTCGATGATTGAAATAGTCCGATCGTTCAATAAAATTGGTTATATAATATTAAAAGTTATTTAATATATATGTAAATGAATTGAAACGTCAAAATCATATACATATGAAAATATATTTCAATATAACCCAAAATAGAAAAAAAAAATACGATAGAACCTTACTCAGTTACTCTGTAACTGTAAACTTAGACAACCGTATTCTACGGGATCTCATGATTTGAAAACTTTACAATATTGTCTCATTCTCAAGTTTTTTAAAAATAGCTTTCTCCACATAAACCAACAAATTGTTATTCAACCAGTCATCTCTTATTTTGTTGCGCAAATCACTCTTGATTAGATTCATAGCAGAAAATACCCTTTCAACACTTGCAGTTGCCACAGGTAATATCAATGTCAAGATGAGCAGCCTATAAACCAATGGAAAATAACAGAAACTTCCAGTACCAACCAACTTCTGAACTATACAAGATATGCTATTGAGATTAAAGAAAACTTCATCCATTCTCACAAACAAAAGAAACTTATCAAGTTGTGGTCTAAATAATAAAAGCTCTTCACTATTGAAGTCCAAAAGATAGAACTGAGCAAGACGTAGCAATTTATTCTTATCAAAAGCTGCAAATGAATCTCTTGGACTTAAACATGAAATGCACGTAAAGAGCTTAGTAGTTGTTTCTAAAAAACGATCATTCAACTCTTGTAAGGTTGAGTCTATCGCATGACAATATAAATCAACATAAAAGCGATGAAAATAAGTCACCTACTGAGCTACACGCCTAGGTCGACCTTTCACTACTATAATATCCTCCATATTGGACACTAAAATATGTCTATCAACACAAAACTCAATCACCCTACTCAAAAAAGTATCCCAAGCATTCTCTCTCACGTTCTGCAATGCACACTTACACAAATTCAATAACCTCATTGCATTCTGAATATCCTGATCCTTTTTCTATAAGGCTTGTGAAAGGTCGTCTGTAATTGCAAGAATTTCAAACATAAAGTGGAGACTGAACACAAACTCAAAATCTTGCATAGCGTTCATCTATCTTACGGCCGAAGATTTTTGATTTGATTGTATGCCATCTTCTAATATATTTTCAAGAACATCTATGATAGATAGCATTAAACATATTAATGAAACGAGTAATTGTCAGTAGATGTGAGCCCCACCTAGTATCACCTGGGCGTGCCAAACTCATTTCTTGAAACTGACCACTTCCACCAGTAAGTTCCCCAATATTAAGCTTCTCCAGAATATTAGCTTGATAACTTGTTCGAAAAGCATCTACATGCTTACATGATGCACCAACCAAATTTACAATAATAGCAAGTATATCAAACAAATCACCAAGCATACAATTCATACGTGCGACAGATACTTGCCAACTGAAGCTGGTGAGCAAAGCAATGAACATACATAGCATGTGGGTTCTCTCTTAGAATTAAAGCTTTCAACCATTTAAACTCACCTGACATATACTTGCTCCATCATATCCTTGACCTCTCAGGCTAGATATGCTCAATCTGTGTGTAGAAAACATTGAATTAGTGGCATCCTTCAGTGATTGGGCACAAGTCTTAGTGACATAGAACATATCCAAAAAACGCTCATTCACTTGCCCACTTTTATCAACAAACCTCAAAACAACTGCCATTTGTTCTTTCATAGAATTATCACGAGCCTCATCAACCAAAATTGAAAACAAAGAATCACCTATCTCATTGATAATAGCCCTTGTCGTCTCTACGGCACAAAAATTAACCAAATCCTTTTGGATGGTTGGTGAAGTCATTTGGTCATTTCCAGGAGCATTACTAAATAATACTTCTTTAATTTCTTTGCAACGAGCTGCATACCAGTTCAGTAACTCAATTAGATTTTCTCTATTAAGAGACTCTTTCGATTCATCATGACCACGAAATGACAATCCTTGCATCAAGATGAATCTAGTATAATCTAGCACTGTATTCAACCTGGTCCTATAAATTTGTTGTTGACTACTACTTTGGCTAGACATAACATAGGAGATACTTTGCTTTTGAATCATCAAGTTAGTACACTTTGCAAAAGCTTTATTATGAGCACTATCAAAGAGACCGACATGATCTTTCAATATCTTTTTGTGCTTCCAATCCCTAAAGCCGGTCTTAGTAAATATATGGCCACCCCCTTGACCCTCTCTATCGGGTTTGAGCAAGTAGCAATGCAAACAATACGCCGCATCCTTTTCTATATTGTATTCCAACCAATGAAATTTGGAGAACCATTCTTTTCGAAAACATCTATTATCATTCCTCATCGGTCTTCTTGGAAAATCATGTCCATATGGTTGACAAGGACCTTTTTCCAAGTATGTCATCCTAACATCATCTCTGATATTAGGATCATACGACTTGATAGGAGGGCGTATCCCTGGATCAGATACAAGATCATCCACATTAAATTGAGTCCGGGATTTCTTTGTGTTATTCAATAACTCTCGTGCTCGACTAGAATTAGCGGAGGGACTAGATGCACAACTAGAAGTAGAAGAATTGGGTATGGACTTTCATTTTGATTGAAAAAATCGTTCCACAATCTGCAAATGTCCCAATTTATTTTTCAATTAGAATTGATTAAAAAAAATAACCAAGTACACACGGGTTGAAAACGAGTGCCTGTTAGGATTTTCTCATCTCCCAGGAAAGATCAATCACATATTTGCATGACATGAAAGAAAACGCATATATGACAAATTATAAAACCAACAAAGAATTAGATTAATGGATACAGGAACATCATGTTTTCTAGTTAAATTTTATCAACCACTTGCAAGGAATTTCACCCCAGTCAATCTGCCACTACAAGAGGAAATTACTACAGTAATTGTTCTACACAACAACATCAATCATCACTCTACGAAGACATATCTTTCTAATAGAACAGTCAATTCTCACAATAAGTTTGTGTGCCATATCTTTCTAATAGAACAGTCAGTTCTCACAATTCATATATACAAACTATTTGAGGACAAATTCAACATTTGAGAAACGTGGCCAATAAGAAATATAACACATCCAAGCGAAAGAATTGATGATCTGTTTCCTTTTTCTCTTTCTACTAAAATAATTGTTTGCCCACTAACTTGTCAACTAGAGTAATCATATATTCAATTATGTTTAATCATATAGGTTTTTATAATGTTCCAACCCTATTCACAACTATGGGTGGTTTGATTTGGCATTTCAAGAATTGAAATTGAACCATAAATTTCGATTCTTTTCTATTCAATCACTATAGCAAAATTGAAATCGAACATTAGATTTCGATTCTAGATTTCAGTTCAATTCTACAAAAATAAATATTATCCTAAAAAATCACAATTTAATTAGTAGGCACTAGGCAGTACAGTAACAAAATCCAACAAAATCAAAATAGCCAAATCAAAATAGAACAAAACCAAAAAAAGAACAAAAATAAAAATAAAAAGGAAAAGAAAAAGAGTTACCAGTCGGCACTCGGTAGCGACGCTTCAGGCCTTCGAGTTCGAGTTCGACAGTTCCGGTCTGCAGCGATTGCCTCGGCTTCCTGGAGATTGGAGTATGGTGGAGCTAGCCTAAATTGTGTGGTGTGGATTTGGAGAAAGAACAAGCAAGGTCGAATCAAGGAAAAGAGTTTGACATTTGGGGAAAAATCACAAATCACAATTTTGCCCTTCCCAGCCAGTTGCCACCACGAACGATTCAAATGAAATGGGTATTAATATGGGTAATGAATTTGGATAAATTAATTTGACGTTTGGGCTAAATAATAAGAGGCCCAACCCCAAAGTTTAACATTTTGTGCAGAAGCCCAAACCAAAAAAAAAAAAAAAAAAAACCAAACGGGTTTCATCTTCCTTCTTCTTCTCCAGGCGAGTCGAGGAGTCGGCGACCACACTGCCCGATGGCTCTGCAGATTCCGGCGGAGCCAGCACTCGTGGTCGCGCCCCCTCTCCAGGTGCTGGCTCTGCGCCTGAACACAGTCCTTATTTCGAAATAGGGAAATCGCTTTTCCCCACCAATTCTTTGTTTCCAAACACTGCCTAATGTAATTGAATATTTTAAGAAGCTCCCTTAATGGATGCTCAATGATTTACCATTTTGTGTTCTTTTCTTCAAATCTCAAATTTTGTTCGATTTGCTCTGCAACTATTTCATCTGCTAAAGTAAACATATCAACCAATAAATAGTATTGTCTCTGATTAATCTGTATGTCGTCTTGAAATATCATAAGGGCCTTTAAACTTCCAACCACCTTGCCAATCTGCCTGAATTGCTCCATTTTCTTTTGAATTTTTCACAACATCTGAAAATGGGCATCACAAATAGTTCTAATGCCGGCCCTATGATTTATGAGGCCTAGGCAGCACATTGTTATAAGGTTCTTAAATATAATTTTTTAGCAAGCATAAAAGTCTCTTTAACACCAATCATGGTCAATTCAAATTCACTATTTATAGCTTTTGAAAAATGAAATGAGCAATTTTAGAATAAATAACTTTTCATTTTAAACTTTCATAAAAAGTTAATTTATAAATTTTAAAGAAATTTTATAAAGTTAGCAAAAAATTATAAGGGAGATTTATTTAATTTTTTAAAGGATTGATTTTTTTTTTTTTTAGTAGATCATGATAAATAGAAAAACACAATAAAATATAGCACTAGCCAATAATTTAATTATAGATCCATTTAATTTCTTAAAAAAGAATATAAGTTAAATACCCAATTAATTTGGGCCTCTTATTTAGACCAATTTTGTTGTTGCCTTTTCAAGTGCTAGAGGCCCAACTCAATAAAATAAAAAATAAAAATAAAAAATTGTTTGATTTTCGAGTTTTATTTTTATTTATTTATTTATTATTATTTTTTTAATGTCATTTCAAGCTGGAGGCCCTAGGCAATGGCCTTGGTCACCTTAGGCTAGAGCTGGCCCTAAATTCTATATCACATTACTATCTGAATTTGTTTTAAACTTCAGCAAAAATATTTAATGAAAAACTCATCGGGATGGTATCTCCAAATATATTGTAAAGTCAAGGTAGCAAAACTATACAATAAAGTCAAGGTAGCAAAATAAGTCAATCTAGATTACACAAGTTACCTAATCACTGTTTCTTGCATTTTTTGTTAAACCTGTTTTGTGAAATAAAAAAAGTCAAATATCAAGTGTAAAAGTATGCTAGAATGAGAAGTAACACAAATGTCAATAAAACACCAACCTAAACATTAATATTACTAAACATCAAAACTCAAGCAACAACTATGCTTTATGATACGAAATGCTAAGTAATTAATCAATCTCTTTCTTATTGCAAATTCTAATCATTTTTTTTATTAACCAACCTAAACATTAATATTACTAAACATCAAAACTCAAGCAACAACTATGCTTTATGATACGAAATGCTAAGTAATTAATCAATCTCTTTCTTATTGCAAATTCTAATCATTTTTTTTATTAACCAACCTAAACATTAATATTACTAAACATCAAAACTCAAGCAACAACTATGCTTTATGATACGAAATGCTAAGTAATTAATCAATCTCTTTCTTATTGCAAATTCTAATCATTTTTTTTATTAACCAACCTAAACATTAATATTACTAAACATCAAAACTCAAGCAACAACTATGCTTTATGATACGAAATGCTAAGTAATTAATCAATCTCTTTCTTATTGCAAATTCTCATCATTTTTTTTATTACTCCCCTAAACATAGTATGAAGATAAAATATGTCAATGTCTCTCCCCAACTCCCCTAAGATGCAGTTCTCTCTTAAAATGATGATGATGATGATGATGATGATGATGATGATGATGACAACAACATAACTTTCAAATGCAAAATACAACCAATCCAATCACTCTATTCCCTTTTGTTACAAATGATGAAGGGAATAATATCAAAATCAAGTTGAACATCAAGTTGATAGCATGCACAAGTATAATTAATGATCAATAAACCTTCTCACATACTCAATTTAAGTTAAGTTGGAGTAAATTGTACAAGTGATTTATGTGTGTAAAGTGTCATTAATCTAGTGTAAGTAGAACTCCAAACCTTAATTTTGTGATAAATGACATGTTAAGCATTATTGTCAATAAGTTTATTCTTCTACTTATGAAGTCAAACCATTTAAAGCATATTAGGACCTTTAAATAAAAGCTCATTTTGTATGGATATTCTTCTTTTCTTTTCTCCCCTTGACTTTAAGTATTTATATATTTTTCACATTTTTCAATATTTTTAAAGCTTATCATATTTTTTAATTCTTAAGTGCAGGTCTTTCTCTATTAAGCGACTAAGATGACATCTATAGCGAGCTTTAGGCTTGTTAACCCAAGTCAGTTGATCATTGGCACCAGGTTTTGAGACATCACGCAGGCTTACTTGCTCAAATCAAATACGCTCCGAAGAAGAACATAAGATATTGAACTTTTTATATAACCGGGGAATATACTTGAGTTTAGATCTAATAGATTTGGTCAATTCATGTTCAAAGTCATCTACTAACATGTGACTGACATCCCAAATTTCACACACGCAATTGAGTCCCATATACAAGATCATAGTCTATGCAATGCAGATTGTATATGAAGACACATATACTAAATACTCCATAAAAACCTAAGAAAGCTATGGAAAATATGTGATAGCCCATTAATCATGCCCATACATGATCACAACACATAAGTTCAAGAATGTTATATATCATGTTGTAGTAAAAATTTCCATCTTCCCCATTTTTTAAGACATGAATGTGCTACACACACAAAAGGAATGTCAAACACACAAAACAAAACAAAAATGTGCATGTGTCAATGCATACAAAATAAAGATGCACATGTATGAAACTACTTAAAAAGCAAACAAACAAATATGATGCATGGATAAAACAATGATACACAATGATAAAGCACAAGCATGCACTAGAACTACTAATCAGTTAGGTATGTGAGAGCACTTACCTTTAAGAGAACTGTGATCCATATCACAATTTTGCAGACTGCTCTTCTTCACCCGAACTTGCCTAATGGGAGAACAATTCCCAGGGAACTGTCACTAACTTGGTCAATCGACTCACTTGATCAGTAAAAAATCCAATATGACCAACAAAATCCTGATTTTTATTCCAATTTGAGCTCTTATTTCCATGTCTGTTCACAAATTGATGACATTTAGGGGGTATGTGTCCTAACTTACAATAGTAAAAGCATATAGAGATAAACCTAGGTACAAAGTTGTATGATCGTTGACGTCTATTCATAGGTTGATAAGTTCTATGCTGTCTAGTATGCCTCTATCTTACAAAATCTTATTCTTAGGTTCTGGGTTAGGGACATGTTTAGGTTGGTCAGTTGCAGCAACTAAAACGCTCTTGAAAGTATTAGTAGCATTATGATCCTTCTCCATATATCCTAGACCTTTGTTATTATCAGCTCTCTTGCTTAATCCTAGGATATTACCTAACTTTAATGAACTAGTAGAAAAGCAAGAAGTTGAGACTTCAAATGCTCTAGATTGCTTATGAAGTTCTTAACCTGGATATCTAAAGTCTCATTCTTAACGGTCAGCTCATTAACTTTCCTAAAGAACTTCTTAAACTCACTGGTAAGATTCTTAGCTTGAGTATCTAAAGATTCATTTATCGATTTCAATTCACTTTGGGTTGAGATAGATTCTTGATGGTCATCTATAAGGATTTTTTATTTTTTTTTGAAGCTCAAGTTCTTTGACCTTAATACACAATGCCTTGTTCTTGGTTAGAATCTTAATACTCCCTTCATACATTTTTTGTTGCTTCATATATATCTTTCTCACTATTAGAATCTTTTCTAGATTGCTCACCGCTGTCTATGTCCTCATCTCCCCCACTTCCCTTGTTAGATCCACTCCTAATCCTAGTAGTGAAGGCAACGTATTTTCTACTTTCCTCATGAGTGGATTTCTCACTCTAATATCCAAGCTAGACTCGTCATCAATGAGAGTAGCATTCATTATTCATATGGCCAAAGCCTTGACACTTGTGGCATCTCACAAATTTAGATCTTCTTCTAGATTCACTCGGGGCACATCTATGTCTTTCCTGAAGTTTGTTTTTATTCCTAAGCATTTTCAGAATTTTTTAGCAAGATACGCTAAGTCCTCTTCATTTGGTGAATTTGAATAAGAAGATTCATTCCGGTTATTCCTCACAGTGTTCAAGGTCAAAGACTTTTCTTTTACAGGTTTAGCTAAGGTTAGCTCATAAGTCTAGACAGATCCTACCAATTCTTCAACCTTTATAGAATCTATATCCTTACTTTCCTCTATCACCATGATTTTAGGCCTAAATCGCTCTGGTAAGGATCTAAGGATTTTTTTGACTATCTTAGACTTGGGATTCTCTCACTAGGTTGAAGTTAGAATTTACTAAGTCATTTAGACTCGCATAAAAGATATCAAAGGTCTCATCATCTCTCATTGTAATCTCCACAAACCTAGTGGTCAACATCTACAACTTAGAATTTTTAATGGCCTTAGTTCTCTCATGCGTGATCTGTAAGATATCCCAAACCTCTTTACTACCTCACAAATGCACACACGCCTAAACTCTTTAGGGAAAACAACCATAAACAAGGCATATAAGGCTTTACTATCCAGTTGCACTTATCTAAGTTGGTTTTAGTCCGATTAGCAATGGAAGTGGAGATCACTATGTTATCAACCATAAAACTAGAGGGACTCTAACAATTCACTACACTTAACCAAATCCTTTCACCCATAAATTTAAGGAAAGTTCTCGTCCTAACTTTTCAATACGCATAGTTACTACCGTCAAAATAGGGCGGAACAGTCAATGAACTACTCATCTAGACCAATTAACGTCAGGACACGCGATGAGGCTCTAATACCACTTGAGAACAGCTCTTACTTAGCTGATTTAGTTTGACCTTACATGCGGAATTATTCTATTAGAAGGCAACAAGTCACTTTTTAATAGTTTCTAGATGATTAAGCATATAAGTCAAATTCCTTATGTTTACATACTATAGTTTGTAATACGAAACAGTAAATAACACAGTAATTATTGATGGAGTAACCTAATTAGGTAAAAACTCCTAAACCAAGCCAGTTATCTCTACTATAGTCAATGAACCTTACAGTTAGATGTTGTTTAGCCAACTCCGCTAGACTTCCTGATCTACTTCTCGTAATCTCCAAGATCTGCCGACTCTACCAACTTCCCGATCTTCTTCAATTATCTTTTCCAAGTTGATACCCAAGAATCACTAA